TAGTTTAGTCTTATAAGGAACCGATAGGTGATCTTTCCATTCGAAACTCTTCGAATCACACGATCTCAATATAATACATGGAGTATGTATTGCATAAATAAATAAACTGCAAACATATGCACTTTGACCGAAACATGATTGCCAGATCAAAATGGAATTGATAGAAACTGCAAAACACAGCTTTTACAGCATACCTCTAACATCCCACAACATGTCTTTTATCTCAGCAGTGAACCTGATAATCCTCGGACCTCGTTTCTTGCACTTAACCATGTGTAGAAAGGCTTCCTCGCATGGTTCATCTTTCTCCTCAAACTCCAACAGAAATACCTCCCTACCTTTGCACTTGTGGCCTGGCGTGAACTTCTCGTTGCACGAATAGCAAAGGCCTTTTTCTCGTCGTCGCTGCATCTCTTCATCAGTCAGCCGCCGAATATTGCTCGTCGTTCGAACAGCTTCGGCCAACGGTTTGTCCTCGGTTCGCGCCGCTGGTTCCTCATTTGCAGCGTGCGTGCGCTTGGTCTCCATGTGCACGTCGCTCGGCCTTGCCTTGCGTACTTCCATCAGATGATCCTCATGTAGTCTCGCCGACTGCATGGTTGTTCGCATCGATCCTGGCCTATCCAACCTTACTTCTGCTGCTAACTCAGCCTTAAGTCCTCCAACAAATGTCCCCACTAGCGCACTCTCGGGCCAATCCCGCACCCTACTAGCAATGCGCTCGAACTCCTTTTGATACTCCCTCAGGCTACCAACTTGCTTAATTCTAGACAAAGCTTCATTGTAATCGTGGTAGTCATTCGAGCCAAACCTCGTGATGAGCTCCCTTTCAAAATCCCTCCAATGCATATGCTCTCCGTGGTTCTTATGCAAAACCCATTGCCACCATACGTTTGCTTCTCCGTCAAGATGATAAGCAGCAATTTGAACTCTTTTGTACATTGGCACATCATTGATCTCAAAAAATTGCGTAGCTCGACTCAACTATGCGTCCGGATCTGTTCCCGTGAATGTGGGCATAACAATTTTTGGTCGTGTACTTGCTCGTTCGTCCTGGTGTTCATCGCGATCGTGGTGTCGGTTATCGCGTGGCTCGTGTCGTCGCCGACCCCTGTCCTCATAGCGTCGATCATTGCGCCTGTGGTCGTCGCGTTGTGCCCGCGATACGTATGATGCGTACGACTGCCGATCGTAGTCCTCCTCACGCCACCGGTGATGGTGCGCGCGTTGCTCTGGACGTCGGCATTCGTCGTGGTGGTCCACGCGCGATGCGCGTGTGCCCCTCGATCGACGATCGTCCTCGTGCTCGATCCTGGTGCTTGTCGCCGTGGACCTTGTATCGTGACGCCTCCATGGTCGCGTGTGCATGCGTGTGAGCTGCCCCGGCCAAGTCCTGGACCATCAGCTCAATCCTCTCCAGGTTCTCGTTGGTGACATGTTGGCTATCACCGATGACCTTCATGTTATCTTCCAACGCTTGAATTCTTTCGCGGTTTGACATCATGAATCCCTTTTTTTCTTTTTTTTTTGCTATAAAAATTCAAAAATAATTCAAACCAAAAAAATTCAAAAAACAAAAGAGAAATTCGGCCCCTCAACAAAAGGTAATAACCGAAAAAAAATAACAAAGGACTATATGACACTTTTTTTTTAAGACTTTCGAAAAAAAATTGAAAAATTCAAATACGAAATTTGAAATTTTCGAACCAAAAAAGCAAAAAAGTTCGGTCCCTCAGCAAAAGGCAAAACCGAAAAAAAATAAAAAGATAGATAGATAAAAACACGATCAGCACCTCTCAATGAGAGCACCAATGATGACGGACCGTGTTTTTACTCTATTTCGGGTTGTGAATAATCGCACACTCAGGGCCTTCGATTAAACACGATAGGTGTATCTAACAGACGCACTCAGGGCCTTCTCCTAGATACCGTGACTTCAAGACGCTCTAATAGCCTTCTCTTCCGACACTGTATGTAAACACGCACTAACGGCCTTGTTTAAACACACGTAAGAACATAAGTTCCCCTCACAATTGGATCACTAGTTCAATACTCAATTAAAGACCTATATAATGATGAGTTACATGGGTATTTATAGGTGCAAAATAAATCTAATTCTAATCTAACTGGATCTCCTATTCTTTGTAATAAAATAAATCCTAATGCTAGTAAATCTCCTAACATCTTCTACTACTAATAAATAAAAGCAATAAGGAAATAAAATCCTACTACTACCAAAATACTAATTGTCTTG